ACATTTTAGAAGTGCATGGTACTTAATTTTAAATTTACAGATTGCTTTTAGCGACCACTTTCTGTAAGACGCAAATCACAAAGCCTGGACTCTTTGTTTTTGTCATGTGAGCAATTTATCATTTTCTACAGAATTAGGTAGATCTGTTAAATACATAATTCCAGGGAGATAAGAACCAGTTGTGCAGTTTCAAGTTTTATAATCCCTAAGTATATGTACATCTAAAACGTAACGATAGTACCTAATTCGCTTACAGAATGAATAGGGATATGAAAGAAATCTGCATTTTGCAGGCACACTGACACATGAAGCACTTCTTGCCTTTAATTATTACGAGACGATAGATATTGTGCCGCTTACAGTGGAGTGTGACTATGATGAACGTAAATAAATATCAGGCTTTTTTAGGTTAAATTAGGAAGATCCACACGACTGAGCCTATTCTCCATTTCACCGTTTCACTTTTATACATAAAAAGGAATAACTGAAGTTCTCAGCCTCCCGGACAAAACTGGTGGCATTTCTGACCATTGCTTTGCATGTTCTCAACAAAGTTATGCAGGATGTTATCATGAAAAGCAGCCATCAGTTCAATATGAATATTACCACTTTTTCTGAAAACGTCGTAAGCTAACGACTTTCAGTCAAAACGATGTATCTGGTGTTAACTACTTGGTTAACACATACTGCCTCCTTCCTATTTTCCAAACAAATTATTTCAAGATAACTCTACATAAAAGAAGGCAACTTCATTATTTCCCAAATATGCCGACAAAGTTGGGCTAAATGATACAGCACTTCCACTGCATATGAATAGTAATTACTATTTGTTGATATACTTCTAGTTCTCCATTGTTGCACGAGATCGGATTGATCGACCTATGTTGGCGAATGGGCTCCTATGCAGATGTCTTAACATTGCCTGAATATTTAATGTTATGATTTACTTGGTTGAACAACAGTATTCAAATGGTGGTAAGCAAACAAATGGAGTTATCAAACGCTTTCAGACTGCATAGATTAGTCCCTATACACGTGGCGTAAAAAGGAATTCTCTGAATCCTTGAACTCCAAACCTATTTGACGAAGGTTCCGTTGCGATGGTATCAATAGGAGGTGATTCTAACACCAACTACTATAGTTTTATCTGTGTCATGTTAGTTTCTTCTGTCACCCACTGAATCTTATGCAACTACTTAGGTTAACCAAGAAATGCAACAATTTTGAAAGTTTGCTGAGAATCATGACCTGACAAAAAGAATGTTGATATTTCTGCAAAGGTGTTTGGCTCTCGAATGAAGTTATGCGTATGTCATACTCACGCCTCCACTTGTTTGATGAAATTGAACTGATGTTTATGTTGTCTTACGTATCTATGCAAGCCCAAAATGATAAAATCTTTATCATTTTATCACAGTTTCACTTCATGGACCAACCTTTGTTAGTTCTGGTTCTACAATATGACCAATAACGAAAATAAGAAACATGATTAAATCAAACAAGACTTCTTAGCTTCGGCGTATTTACGAGAGATGGAAACAAGTGTCCGTACACTTTCACTGTCTAGCATATGTACATATAAATAATTCAAGTCAGGGTGAATTCTTTTCAGGGTTATTATACATAATTACCAGCATATTATCATGTTCAAATTAGAAAATTTGAAAAGGACTGCGATTTCAATATTTTGACATATGTTTGCTTCTTATGCAGAAACTCCATGTGTGTTACATTTCTCGGAAGCTGTATCTATACTTTTGTGTTACCTTTTCTATCATGGTTTCATGAAACGTTTTCTGTTGTCATTGACATATTTTGTTGAGTCACTTGTAATGTTAAGTGTGTTTCTTCTGAAGCACTTTGTTATTCCTATTTCGCTTCATCTCTTTGGATGGTATCAGTTTCCTTTGAGGCGTGATATTTTGTCTTAGGTACACTGGTGCAGCAATGCAAGTGTATAGGTTATCAAATTCTTACTCTTAAAAGTTGTCAGTGTTTTCGATTTTTACTAACCTGGCGGTTGCTTACTGATGTTGTTTTTCTTACTACTTTTGTCTCATATCACATTTTATGAGCAGTTACAACTGTTTACATCTCAAATGAGTCCGGTGATGACCATATTTCCTTCTTCCAATGTGGATGCAATGTGAACTTCTTGGAACATTTAGTGGCACTGTAATTACCAAAATTTCGTCAGGAAGCTGGTGTGGTCAGCACGTTCAGAGGAGTTCATGGATCCTTAAACCTCAATGTGCCACGTTCAACCATCACACTCAAAGAATTGGAAACAACTGAATGCACATATTTCTGTCCGTCCTACAACTATGCAATTACTTGCTGATACTTTGGATAGTAGACGTCGGATTGGCGAGAATGTCATTAACTTAGTTTTTGTCACCAAATGTGTCAGCATAGGAGAAATATTACGTGTTACCTGATATTAGAAATTATAGAAGAAGCGTTAAACTGGTTTATTTGTGACCTATTCTTATTTTCTAGACGGTTTCGAAAGAAACTCATGAGTGTACCAACTCTCTCCAAAAAACGCCACGTCAAGCCACTACTAAAATAAATGGATTATATTTGCTGGACAGTTATAAAGGCAGCCAAAACTTCAACAGATGGTTAAGTCTGAGAATCTAATTTGCCTAGCGACTCTAAAGGCGACTTGTATGCAACACTGCTGCGCAACGGATATCCTTGAACTTCATTTCATGTGACTTCACTAATTGGAAGACAGTGAACAGTGAATATAATGTTACTATTTTCGACCAGAAATATACTTTAGTTCTATGCAGAAACCATATTAATTTCACTTTAGTCATTGAGAGTTTCGCCCAGCTGCTATCGGAAATTTTAATGCTTAACTGTCCTTCCATCTTATTCACACTGGCTGTCCAGTCAGGTCTTTTCATCTCAGTCAGAACCGAGCTGAATTTGAATGTGTTGAACACAATATTGATTATCACTGCGGCTATCTGAGATAGCAGGAGCGTGGCAAACTTGTGTTATTGATACTACGTGGTGGCTGTTTCACATTACGGTCGGGCAAAACCTTGGTAATTGAAGTGAAATTACGATCTGATCATCAGCTGGGTCTCACAGCTCAGTTTTTAGAGCACCAGATCGGTAACTAAGCAGCCTCTGTTTTGAATCCTGATATAACCCAGATGTTCATTCCACCTTCAATAACTAACTAGTATCAGTAATGCAAGTTTGCCAAACTACAGCTACGTGAGGTAGTCACGGTGATAGAAACATATGGCCTGTTGCGTGCACGAATTGGAGATTGAAGTTTGGATGTACACGTAGGCTTATAGTCCTTGAAGAATGCAAGTTGGCTGTACCAGTATGTCAGGGTGGGTCGAAATCAGCTTAAGTTATGCTTCATGTCCTCAATCCTATTTAAACAGCTTTGATTTCACTTTCTGTGAGGTAATCCTGACATCGGATATTGTTAGATTGTTGAAGTCGACCTTATGGCCTAAAATTAGAGCATGTGGAGTCATGAGGGAAGTGTTTTGAGTCTTTTGAACTACACTGCATTTCTAGATAGTAGTGACTTAACTATCATCCACAGAGAGAAATCATCAGTGTTGAGTGACTATCAGGACGAAACTGAGTGAGATACGTAAAAATAGTAACACAGTTAAAATCTTTGGAAAGACGGAGGTTAGATTTATTGACAGGTTATGGTGAAGTCGACTTCTAAATGAAAAGAACTTGTGGGGGTACACTGATGAGGGAAAATTTGTGGAATGAGCATGAAAATATGTAAGATTCAGTATGGAGGATTATCTCAACTTCTATTCAAAAACAAGGACAAATCTTCGCACTATTACATTTTCTGCGCTAAAACTCATGATAAGCTAGTAGTGAAGATATTCTGAACAGAAGTACACGTATAAAACTCTCTATTGTTTATACTAAATAGCAGAGCAGCTGTTATGTACAAATATTTCGGAATCACAGTGATAATGGGAATATTTTCAGTTCATAAAGAAGAGTTTGACGAGTTGTATATCCGGTAACTACCTTTCCAAATTAGACTAGTTTAATATACTGAAGTGTAACCTTTGATTACCTCTGACCGGCGTTCATTTTCTCTAAAGGCTATCAGTTTAAGATGAATGAGTGACAAAACGGAATCCTGCCTTAGATAATAATTCTACTGGTAGAAGTTTTTGTATAAGTGCCAAAAAGTATTACATTTCAGTCCTGCATGCCATTTCGATTGTTCTAAAAACGAATTAGTGTGAATATTTTGAAACTGCAAAATGTAAAGTAGTACTTCTGAATTTAAATACACATCGCAGAACATTTGAGATTAACACATTGTTAGCCACTACAAGTACTTTTAATACTTGCCTCAAATAATTGACTTGATTTATTGTTACAGGTGATATAATGGACTTAGGAAGACAAAATTGTCAACTGGAGGAGTGGTGTGTAGCAACAAGCAGTTCTTTAAACAGATAGCTTAAAGTTCGATGAAATGCAACATTACTTCTGAAGCTTGTAGTTACAACTGAATTGTTAATCTGAGACTACACGGTCAAGCATCCACACCATTTTGTAACTTGTCGTATTCCGCTACATGGTTAGTTCATAGGCTTTTCACCAGCTAGTTTACACATCTCAGTGTATTGGCAGCATTCATCCAGTACACGATTTATGCCTAGCTGTATGATTATGTTGTTCCTTGATCTCTCACTCGCGGGTTTTGGATGGTTTTTGGGTCTGCTAAGATCCGATGTGGGCAATTCTTAAAATAACTCAGTGGTAGTATGACGAGAAAATCTTTCATTCTACTTTACTGCTAATGCAAATATTGTAAGATTATTGTATCTATGTTTGATTATCACAGTCTTCAGGACGTTCTTCTATGTAGCTCCTCCCATTATTCGCTACGAAACCGTAGTATGACTTATTTGGTCAGAAAAGCCGACCAGGTGGTCGTGTCATGTTTATATGAAAGTTGTTTGGTAATAAGAAGTAATGAAAACCCCCAGTGTTTTATTTTTTGAGTATAAATCACAAAATATGACAGGAAAAATGTACAATCTTTGCAAAGCATTACAAAAATACAAATGTGTGAATGACTATATATGATTAAATGTGGCTGTTGAAAAGAAAATTCAAGAAATACTTTTGCCCAGTGTTTAAATTCTTCACCGTTATCATAAGTGAATGTTAGTATGTACAGTAATTCATGGCTAAAAACACCTTCAAATTTCAAAGACGTTAAAAAAGGATATGAGATGGATAGAAGGAATCACAAAATATTCTGGAAGTAACTATTGAAAATGAATAATGCGTTCTCTTTCCTGCTTTAGATTTATATACAACGGAATATAAAAACTTAATGTTCCAATATGAGTCACGACATCCAGATACGTACATCTCAAATAATCTGGCATCACGCTTTCTGATTATTTAAAGCAAACACTTGCACTACTAGTTATAAAAAGCAGTAGTCTAATACTTGTTCACAAAGAAATGTTTGGGTTATGAAGGGTAATGGAGAATCGAATAGTTGTCGACCTTTGAAGTAATTAGTGGTCAGCTTACATTGAGTTACTTGTTGGGTTTGTTCGGGTTATTGTGATGAAAATTTAGATATTGTCTGCATACAGCCACACGTATATAACTACAATAAGTGTATCTAAATTGAGATATAGAATAAGTTCGAAACACTTGAGGCAGTTAAATAATGAAACATTAAACGTCTGTCTCAATCGTTTTATTAAACGAATGGTGCTGTTTATTGGCATAAAATACCTCAGAATTGTTGATATTCCCTGTATTACTGCTGCTACTACTTGGTTTTCTTGTACAATCATGATTAGAAACAAATCGAATTTGTGGATTAATTCTTGTTTTTGTATTGAGGGTTGTGAAGGCTGAAATATCGTCAGTATTTACAACTGGTTGGTGTTTTTCAGAGAGTAGTGTCTTTGGCAATTTGTCTTTTATTGTCTCCTTTCTTGCTTTGTCAGTCTCAGTAGTTTCAAGAGGATTTTCTGGATGTTTGAAGATTTCATCTTCTAAGTAGTGAATAACAGTTGAATATTGTTCACATTCCTGTTCTACATTTTGTGTTTCATCAGATTCTTTCAGTGTTTCATGTAGACAATCAAAACAACCTATTATCGGCTGCTCAGGAGATAGAAATGGTGCTTCACACTCCCGAGTATTCATTTTTTTGGCTCTAATACTCAAGGGTAGAGATAAACTTCGGCTTATTTTATTATTGACTTCTGTATGGTGAGAATTTTCTTGTCTAGTTGAATTCTCCTGTTGCTTTTCTTGTTGTAAAACTATAGGAAGCGTTTCCTCATCAGCTTTTAAAAAGGGGCTATCTTGAAAAATATGAGGCTTAGAAGTTGAAGGATTCAAACTAAAACAATGTGTAACTGCGCTGTCATTCAACTCCTCAGGGTTAACTTTTATCTCTGAAGTCACAACAGTATAAGTTGAATGTTGAACTGCTGGGTTGGGTTGTAAAGGACAATTAGATAATTTCGGCAGTTTGAGATTATTGTGTTCAATGCTTCCTCTGGACGGTGATGTGTTTTTACTCGATTTATTCAGGTAATTATCCTCTGGATACATATTCGGCCAACTATTCAGTGACTTTGCTCGTTTTTGATGGTGTTCATGATGAAATTGATTGTGTCCCACCACAGTTTCAGATAATTTGCAGTCAATATTTTTGTCTTCCGCAAATTGTTCTTTGTCATATTTGCTGTCTGAATGTAGACTACTCATACTGAGGTTAGCATAACTGGTGCACGACTGGACGTGTATAAATGTCTGTTTATCCTCAGTTTCGGTTTCTCTATGATAAAAATAGTTGAAGTTAGAAACAATCACAGGTACTGGCAGCGCAATAGTTAACACACCGGCAATTGCACAAAGTGATCCGACCAGTTTACCCCACATTGTTACAGGCCTCATATCACCGTAGCCTACAGTGGTCATTGTAACTACAGCCCACCAAAATGCATCAGGTATGCTACGAAAATAAGTCCGATCTGAATCCACTTCAGCAAAGTAGACAGCCGATGAGAACAGGATAACACATATGAGAAGAAAAAATACTAGTAAACCTAATTCCCGTGTACTGGCCTTCAAGGTCTGTCCAAGAATTTGTAAGCCTTTAGAATGTCTTGACAGTTTGAATATACGAAAAACACGGACAAGTCGAATTACTCTTAGGATGGCCAATGACATTGCTTGATTCTGACCTTTACTTTCATCTGCGACCATAGTACCAACAGTGATAAAATATGGAATGATAGCTACAATATCAATAAAATTCATGATATTTCTAAAAAATGCGATTTTCTCCGGTGAAGATGCGAATCGAACAAGTAATTCAAAAGTAAACCAAACAATACATATAGTTTCAATAAGAAAGAAAGGATCTTTAACTGCTGGAATGTCATCCTCAGCAATTAAGAGGCATCTCACTGGATCATAATACTGATGGCAGTTACCATTCACTGTATATAAGTCTTCTTTGCTTCTGAGTATTGAACTAGAGCCACCTGTTGGTAGGGATGAGGAAAAAATTTCGTTCAGTGCATTTATTCTACTAATATTGAGATTTGGAAGAACTATGGGGACACTGTGTGTAGATAAATTTACAAATTTGTAGTGTTTGAAAGACGGTAGCGTTTCTACACAGAATATTATGATAGAGAGAATAATTACAAAAACAGAGCAAATAGCTACACAGCGTGCAGCCAATGAACTCTCAGGATATTCGAATAACAACCAAATTTTCCTTTGGAATTTATTTTCTGGCAATACTTTTACATCTTCACGGATGAAACCTTCATCATCACGATATTTTTCTACAGCGTCTTCATCAATCTCATAGAAGTTAATTTCTTCAGTAAACACATCAATAGGTACGTTCACTGGACGACGAAGTCTTCCTCCACTTTGATAGTAATAAAGGATGGCATCAAAGCTTGGGCGATTTCTGTCAAAGAAATATTCATTGCGTAGGGAGTCATAATATCTGTCCAGTTTCGTAGGATTGCCTAACAGGGTGTTTGGGAATTTTTTCAGTGTACTGAATTGTGTTTCGAACCTAAGTCCAGATACATTTAAAACTACTCTTTGATTTTCAGTAGTATAATGTGTTTTGTGTAAATTTGCTGTGATTCGATGAAGTTGTACATTATTATTACTGCCGGCAACCGACTCAGAATTTCCTGTTGTTGTTGCTGATAAGAGGGGGAATGAGACTACTGGTTTTTCATCTGAAGCGAGTATTTTATCATGTTTGTTGACATTATCTAATGAATTTACATCAAGATTCGTCTCTGAGATATTATATTGCAATTGTGACAAGCTTACTGGATTACAGTTCGTCACTGTACTAGCATTTGACGATAGCAGTTTGTTGTACTCATATGGATCGACTAGACTACGACTTTGTTGTGTTGCATAGGTATCCTGTGATGAACTGCAAAGTGGAGCATTTGGAGTGTTGTGCAGAAAAACACTGCCTGTATAACTGTACATATTAGCGGGATTGCATAAGCCTGTACTCCCTCCACCAGCACCAACCATACCGCTGTATGGTCGTGTACCATACGATCTGAAATTGAATACACAAGACATATTTGCGTCATCAAAGCCATGGCTATGTGATATTGTTTTACAAATATAACTTAATAATATAAGCAAGCTCTTAACAGCCTTGGTAAACTACACGTTAAGTGGTGAAACGTCCACTGAAACCACGCTTATGTGTTACACTTGTCTCTTTGTGTCCTAAATGATTCGTATCTGAAGTAAAAGAGTGAAGCCTTGTCACTGTGTCAGGACATAATTCTATTTTGATTGATTTATTGGCTATATCACGCAGTGGAACGGTATTAGTTGCTGAGTTACGTTTGAGACATAGTTTGTTGTTCGTAGTCGTATCAAGATAGTTCCACAGCTTTGAATACTGGTCTATAGGGTTCTGTTTGTTTCACATTTTCGCAACGACAGCGAAAAAAGTATTTTTTTCTGATGTAGCTAGTTTGTATAGTAATGTAGCAGTTTACATGCCTATGGAAGTGGTTGGAAATGAGTTCGATAATGACTGTGAGCTTACAATACGAACAAAGGTACTAGTGGAGGAGATCATGTTAGGAGTAAAGCTATGCCTAACATTCACAATCTTCAAGTTTCAGCAAAAAATATACAAACAAACAGAAAAGGTTGTCAGGGGATCGCCAGTATCCCCTATTGTGGCAGACATATTTATGGATAGTTGGGAATGGATGGCTATCAATACATTTAGTCCTGCTCCAATAGTATGGTTGCGATATGTGGATGACACGTTCGCTACATGGAAGTTGGAGCATATACATAGTATTTTTAAATATATAAATTTAGCAGTCAGCGCAATCCAATCTACATATGAATTAGAAAATAGTGAGGGAGAATTAGCGATGTTAGATTGCAGAACAAAACGGAAACAGGATGGAAGTTCAGACACTGGTGTCCATAGAAAAAAGCCTTTACACTCGGATCGTTACTCAGACTTCAAATTATCCCACCCCATGTCAGTTACAGTTAGCTTGGTAAAATGTCTGAATATCAGTGTCAAGAAACTTACTAGTAAAACAGATCTACAACAAGAGTTTAAATATATTAAAGACACCTTAGTCATGAATAACTACAAATCTAAATTAAATAACGAACCAGTTAGTAATCGTAAGGAAAATATTACTAATACCTGTAACAAAGGTGTTAATAGTGGTAATAGTAGTAATTATATTGATAATAGTGGGAATACTGAGAAGATGGAATTCGAAACCCCTACAGTATTATCGTACAAGGGAGATGCTTCACAGACATTACATAGGATATTCAATAAGGCTGGGATTAGAGTAGCATTTAAACCTGGACACCCACTTAGAAATACACTTTGTTGGTTAAAAGGTCATACTGACTATATTAGACAGAATAATTTAGTTTACTGAATCCCATGCAACGATAGCAAGGTTAAATACATAGGTGAAAGTAGTTAACAAGATTCAAATAGGCTATATGAGCAAAAAAACCTAGGTGAATCGAAACTGGTCGAACCTAATAACATACGGAATTTAGGAGAAAGCCCAGCCATCGTCATTCATGTAACTACACGCAACCAAACACTGGGATAGAACAGAGAGACAATCCTGAAAACTGACTTAGTGGGGTGCAGGGAGCGTTTGATAACCCAATCTTTGTTTACTGAACCAATACCAAATGCATGCGACAGGAATGACTCAACACTTGTTTCAGATACACAAAAAAATCCCACTACTTATATCACAAGAAGGCAAGAGAATAAGAACAATATAAACCATGTCTGAAAGTTGTGGAGCTATCCTGATATGATCATGGACAGCACATTGTGTCCGAAACGTAATCCAGTGAAAATATTGTTTCACTGTGTGATGCATCTAAAAAACCAATCGAAATCATTCATATCGGATGAAAATCACAAGAGTTGTGTTGAAGATAACTTTGACGTCTCCTTAATGGGTCAGTATGTAGAATTAAAGGAGATTAGGATTGTGGACATCTTAAAACTAAATTTTTTTCTTTAATATAGCATACTATAATACAGTAATATTTACTGGATGAGGGTTAGAGCGCAGTGAACTATTCACATTGATATCAAGGTGGGATATACGTTTTTAATGCGTTCTACACCAAACAAAGTGATATAGAGTGGAATTTCACTTTACAATAATATCCAATTTCTGTAATCACAAACATTTTACTCATTTAGACTTGTGAATATCAAGGTAATCTTCGTTTATGTTACCTGGGGGTTGAGAAGGTATGCACTGGACTAGTATGAGCGGTTTTTGTTACTATTATTAGTAGTGATGTTTACAGTTTCTAGTAGCTTGTTTCACTTCAAATCTGAATGTTCAAGTGTATAAATTCCATTTTCAGACCAGACTGCATCTTATGTGCATCATCTACCACAAGGGCAGGCAGTTGATATGTGATATTAGATATCAGAAGTTAATTGTTAGTAAGTTCTATAGGAAAGTTTAGTGCTAGATGCCATTCATCAGTTGGTAAGTACTTCATCAATTCATTTGATGAGTAATTTATGCTGGAATGAATAGCTGTGTCTCTAGAAACATCACTATTTCAAATGGTGTGTAGATCTAAGCTTGACTTTCTTGGGATTGCGTTTCTGGACTATGTCATAAACGAGCTTGTTTCAAATAAATCAGATAGGTGTAATGCTCATACAAAAATCTGATAGGTTATTTGTCAGTTTTCGCATTAGACGGAGACGACAAATTTGGCCAATCTGCACATCAATAGGAATTAGAAACGCTAGTTGACAAAAACGTTTTCTTGGCACCAAATTTAGGTACTTGTTTGACAAAAGGGCTGTCACTGACATCATTTGTTAGCAGTTATATACAACAGATCCTTTTAGAAAATCTTCTGTTTAGCTCAAGTGTACGTCTCATGTCCAACACGTTTATTATGCACTCCTTGTACTAGTTTCCTTGAGAAACACACAAATAATATTTTATGTTTGATGTTTAAAGGTGGTTCGTTGAGATTGTTTTAATATCTTTCTTAATTGATTTTACTTCTCACAGTGAGTCTTCAAAACTCAAGAAAATTACAGATCTTTTGGAAACAAGCCAGCTTTAGTCAGTAACTCAGTAACAAACCTTACCACTAAGTTAGTCCAGGCTTTACCATTGATGACGCATCTCAACCAAAGAAAATAAATTCTCTTCGTGAAGGGCTAAATAATATCTAAACATAAGATATCTGAGTGTTGTGATAACTTAAATTATTTCCAACCTTAGGTGATAACCTCGATCAACATTTTTTTGATAGACTTTAAATACCGGCATAAAGAAATTATTGAGCTGACCAAGGAAACAGCTAAATTGTTGCTCTAATGGAAGTAGCTACCAGATTAACAGTTGAAGACTGAGGTCATGTAACTCGTTGAATCCTAATTTGTAATGTCGCTGTAGGTTTTACTTAAAAGTCACGTAGTAGACTTCACAAAGTAGGTGTATAGATAATACGAACAATCAATATGAACTACTGACTAAAAATTGTTTCAACCAATCGACATATAGTGTTAACCATATTGAGGTGATTGAAATGCTACTTCAAATTTGAGAAGCCTAGTTTATGAACCAAAGATTAAACATTCTAGAGTTGTTAGTTGATTGAAAGCTCCGGACCTGGGTTTTATGTTTGTTGATAATCGTCAGGATGATGTATTTGCAACCTAGAGCGAACCAATGTCCCCTCCGACATTCAAACCTACATTACCCAATATTGTAGTGAGAGATGTCATCACTGAGCTATTTGTGGCGCTACTGACCTCTTGTAGAACTGGATTGGATACACTGACTGGTCACTGGAGAGTAACCACTTCCATTTTCTCGAGTGCTTAATGTTGACCGAATTCTCTTGATCTTTTGTAGCGTGATCACTTAGCTTGGCGACTCACCATTACGGTGCACTTTGATTTATGTCATTCGGTTGGAAGCAGTTGGCGGGAAGCGCTGGAAGGGGGTTTCAACCGTCATCAGTTAGGATGTGTGTATATGGGTCTTGGTACCAGAAATATTCTAACACGACACCAGCTATGACAACGTGTGTGAATCGTGGGGGGACCGTAGCAAAGTAGTCATTACTGGGTGATTCTCTGCAAAGAACAGTTTCCTTTGAGTTGTACTACTATTTTGAGGCTGACGTGTTATTTTTCCCGCCTGGTTATCAAACACTAATTTAATTATTATTCTGACTATGTAAGATAGCCGTGGTCTGGCAGATTATTTATACTGGGTGATGGTTAAAGGTGAAATAAAAATTTGAACGGAGCCGGTTTCATACGAGTTGGTAGAGCACTGGACCGGTGATTTGCAGTCGGCTGTGGTCCAAATTCGCATTCATTCTTTACTCATCACCCAGTATAAATACTTAGTTGTTTATTTACAAAGACTCTGCTGTTTACAGACACACGATAGTTGCAGACTGATGAGTCCAAAACCATGAGTAAAAGTTATTCTACAGAGCCGATTCATCAGGTACTAACACCTCCATTGCCAGTGAAATGAGCTTATAGTACCAGATTGGAGAATACATTAGTCGGGTAACTTTTAAAACCTTTTTATTTTAGCTTCTGCAGTAACGCTTTTATTTTAGTCATCTTCATTCATAATATACACCGACTGCCTCTAAGAATGAAGTAATTTGACCAGAGGTTCGTTTGATTAATGTACTCACAGCTGATAAGTTTGACGACAGCTAGTAGAACTGAGGTGACCAATCAGCGTATCAAGTCCATCACTGTAGTAGGTTATTCGTGGTGTGAAGAGCTCAGTGGTAACGTCACTGACTGAAACACTGTGTTCCACGGTGTCGAACCCAAGATGGTATACTACATCCCTCGATGTTGCAGGTAAGCCTTGCTAATGAGTGCTCACAAAAACGAAATCTAGATCCAGGGCTTTCTGCGAGTTGCTTCCAATTAGCTAACAAGAGTGAGCATATGCTTCATCCCTGTTTGAGAATCTTCATCGGTACACGTTTACAAGACTTTTAGAATTTGGC